AGTAGAGTTTCTTTTGGGGACTCCTTAATGTATTTTGTCGAATAGATTCCTGAAAAGAAAGAACTAGTAGCTAAATAGAGCTTTTAGGTATCTTCTGAGTTGGCTTGAAGAGGCTCACTGGTGGACGTACTGTGGGAGGAATTCTGCTGGTCACACTCAGGTCACAGGGCACCAGAAGCTTTATAACTACTAGAATCACTGATTTCAATCCTTACACTATCTGTACAGCATGGACACCATCTCTTTCAGGTGATGAGATCTTGGGTGGCAACACGATTCTTTCAAGGAGTTCCAGATGCTTCCAGCTGTTAATTCCAAAGACTGCATTCAAAGAGCATAAAACTTATTTGAAAATATTTATAATTATAGATGCCACAAATGGTGGGTGAAGTAAAGATAAAGCAATTATTTTTTCCTGGATGCTCTGGTCTTAGTGAATGCACATTTATTCTTTACTTTGAAAATTTTCTTGAGAATGACACAATGAAATTTGAGTCTAGAATACTATGAAACTTAGTACATTATCCATTCATCTGCAAAAGAGGTCTTCATTATACAGTGTGTATTATTTAAATCAGACTACTTTAGTACCACCAATATGTTCTACCAATTTTCTCATGGCCTCTTTAACCTCCTTGTTCCTCAGACTGTAGATAAGGGGGTTCAACATTGGGATCACCACCGTGTAGAACACAGACACCACTTTGTTTTGTTCAGTTGAGTAGCTGGACTTGGGCATCACATAAATGAATGCAATGGTCCCATAGAAGAGAGTGACTGCTGTGAGATGGGAGGTGCAGGTGGAGAAGCCTTGGTGGCTCTGCTGGGTGGAGTGGATCTTCAGGATTGAGAAAAGGATATAGACATAAGACAGAACAATGATAAACACAGTGACCACAATGATGGAGCTGGAAGAAATGGCTGGAATTATTTCAGAAGTAAAATCATGAGAAGAGGAAAGCTTCAGAAGTGGTGAATAGTCACAGAAAAAGTGATTGATTTTATTTGGTCCACAGAAGGATAGACTTAATAAACAGCCAGTAAATGTCCAAGCATTCACATATCCATGTAGGTCGCAAATCCCTACTAAGAGAATACAGATTCTAAGGGACATGTTGGTGGAGTAGAGCAGAGGAGAGCAGATGGCCACATAGTGGTCATAGGCCATGACAGCCAGCAGAAAGCACT